CCACTGGGATTGCCTTGTCATCAGCAGAGCATTGCTGGGAAATCTCATCTGTAATCTCTCAAGATCTCGAGGAAAGGCATTTTCCTCCCCTGAGATGATGTGCATGGTCACATGTCCTAGTCACATGTCTAGTCACATGTGCCAGAAATCCAGGAAGTGAAAGGAGAGCTAGTAATCTGCCCTTAGTAAACATGGCCACTGGAGAAGACTGGGGAAGAAAAGAGAAATAAGGTATGTGTTGCACTTCTGATGAATAAACTCCACAGTGCGATCGGGGTTGGGTGAAATGAGGGTGCTTTAATATGAACTGCAATAGAATGGAGGACACTCATCATCGAGGGAGCAAGTGTGTAACTGACTAAACAATAATACAGTATATGAAGCATAAAAACTGTGCAGGTACATAACAGAATTATTGTGATTGACATCCAAATGCAAAATCAACATGTGTGCTGGCTGCTGGGAACCAGTGGCGTAACAACCGGGGGTGCAGCAGGGGCGCGGGCACCGGGCGAAAAGAACATCCTCCCCCAAAGCTGTACTAAGGAAGATGCCACCTGTCCTATAATCACACTGCATTTACTTTCACTTGTCACTGGAACATTAGCTAGACCAGTTTAATCTATTCTGTTCCCAGTTATGCTTTTGAGAATAATCTCCCTTACCTGCAATAGAATGGAGGACACTCATCACTGAGGGAACAAGTGTGTAACTGACAGGAAGTTCCCCTCAGAAGCAAGTAACTAAGTTTCCCTTTCCACTTACAGTGCAGCATGTGTTCTGGTAAATGGGTCCTCTCTCTAAAAACAGGATTTTAGCTGAGAGTGTCAATGTGTCCTCATTAGGAGAACCTTAACATGTTATTTTTCATATTTTTTGTGGGGTGTCTATATTAACATTCTTTACATATGCAGAGAACACAAAGCCGGCAATTATCTAGAAGTATGTGTTTGTAGGTTGTCATTACTGAACATTTCTAAAGGTGTGTTTGTTGTTATAATAAAGATATGGGTAAAGGTCCGCTTTAAGCAAGACACAGCCAGACAAATCATATTTTTAGAAAAGGCCAGCAATGCAGGCTCCTGTACTATTGTCATGACAGAGTTCCTCGAAGGTATGAGCTGGAAATACGTGATTGCATTTCCCAAGGATTACCCATAGATGGCTCCATATAATAGGTATTCATGGTTCTCTGAAGTCTACTCTGCATGAGATGTTTGTAATCACTCGGCAGCTTGAGATTCTGAACATCTCAATGAAAAAGACGTCAGTGTGTTGCAAATGGAACGAGTGCCAAGTAGGGTTTAAGTTCAAATGATACAGCAGTTCAGAAAATATCTTTGCAGTTTAGGTGGTTGGTGCTATATTAGTAATATACTAGGAGCTGCCGTACATGAATTCAAGCAAATGGAAAATTCAAGTATGGTTGCAATAGGTTTTTTTTAGTTTTGGATAGAGTAGAAAGAGAATAGAACATTTGTCAAAATGTTATTGCTGTCTGTGTCCCTGTTAGGGAGATTCACCCTCTCTATTTGTCCTGGTGAACGTTATCACTGGAAATGCAAGAAAATACAAAATATTGGATCATGATCAGAAAGGAATAGATGGGAAATCATCCAATGGGGACACCAGTTCTGGTCACCCTGCTGACTGCCAGGGATTTCCCTCATTTTGGAGGGAATTTCTTTTACTTCCTGTTGTGGCTATTAAATGGGAAGTGAAGAAAAATCACCCCAATTGGACATAGATAGCTAAAAAAAAAAACCGTGCTGCTTATGTTCTGTGAATGTTCACTTATCCTTTCCTTTTATCTATAATAAGGGGAGATAGTACCTAACTGCTTGGAGACCTTATGGGGTTTCTCACCAACAGGGTTTCCTAAAGATCTAAGACACAGAAGAATGTTGACATATCAGTTTTGGGTCTGATAACTATCAGTTAGGCTACAAAGCTTACATTTTTATGTTTTTTCTCTAATAATCTTTTGCAACTGGGGACAATTTTAACTGCAAACCATTCCTTGCAGTCTCCTTTGTATACTGCAGGACAATTGTGTCAATGATTATTATTATTAATAATAATAATACTAATACAAATAGATTTTATTATCATACCATTATTACCCATCACATTCTCAAACAATTCATCCCCACACAGCTACCTCCTCATGTATCACTTGCCCCTCCCTTTTAGATTGTAAGCCCTCAGGATAATAATAATAATAATATTTGTCACATTACTGAGGTCATTGGGTCATTGATAACTGAATAATAATATTTAGGCTTCCTGAACAGCTGCAGTAACAGTCAAGTGGAAGTAAGACGAGAAAAGTGTGACTGTAACAGGATTTGAATCATTTGATCTATATTTCTCAAGGTGCAAATTTTGCATATTTCAACATGTACAAAAAACACTTTAATCTTCAATGTGTGTTCACATTGAATCTTCAATGTTGCTTTAAGAAATGCTTAATGCAAAGTTTTCGCAAAGCATCTCTTTTTTTGTTTTGTTTTTATATTTTTCTTAAAGCCCAACTCCAGGCAAAAAAAAACAATATCCTTTTTCTAATCCTCCAGACACCTACTTAATTTAAGAATGAAGACCTCTGCTCCCATTGCACTGCTGATCGCAGGGCAAAGTGTGTGCCTCAAACCTGTTACTGAGCATAAAACGTCACTTCTTAATGGACAGAACTTAGAGAGTTTAGCAATATGTCAGAGGATCAAAACTTCCCCCAGCTCCACCCACAGCTGGTTAATCCTATTGGGCCATTGCTCTGCTTTAAACCTCTACGCATGTGCTCACAGCCATTTTCAAAGGTGTCTCAGATGGTAGGAAACACAATAAAACTGTACTTATCTGCAAAGTTTAATGCTTGAGATTTCAGTTACAGATTTCATAATTAATGCATACAATGTTTTTTATTAACCCTTGCAGTGGGGCTACTCCCCCCCCCCCCCATAACCCCTCGGGGGGGGCCCCCCCCCCCCCCCCCCTTCCCCCACAGCTACAGAATTAAAGAGCCAGCCTTATTTACTGATAATGAGTAGGACCTGCCAGGTGAAATCCTACACATACACTGTACAGAGATATCCAAACACATTTTTTATTTGGCCCCCCATTTAAATGTATAGCCCAAACGTTTTAGTGTTGAATGTAAGAGAGGGGTTTAAAAACCCTGTCCATTTTATTGGGAAGGGGGAATTCCCTTCACTTCACTTCCTTTTTCTGAGGTGCATCAGGGAGTGAGAGCGAATCTGTACAAAGTGAGGGAAAATCCCTTCTTAGATAGTTGTCACCATAACAGGTGTCCGCATTGGAAGATTTAACCTCCCCATTTTTTATTTCCCATCACTTTTTGTCTCAGTAGAAATAGAGAGGGGTGAACCTCCCCAGGAGAACAAAAACATCAGTAAAAAACAGACATTCTAATCTTTCCCTACTCTATCCAAAATTGAAACAAGTTTTAAATATTGTGTTTTTATTGAATAAAAAAAATAATAATAATCATAATCCTCATCATAAACAGTATTAATTGAAAAAAAGTATTGATATGAGTCATACAAACACAACACACCCATTCATGAAATGTTATTCTTTATGTTTTTATTATTATAACATTTAAAACCTCTCAAGAAGTGTTTTTTTTTTTCGTATCATAAAATAGATAAAATTATATTTCATCTAAATACTGTTTTGCATGTTAATAAATCTGACTTTTCTAATTATATTAAACATTTTAGAAAATATTTTTTTTTCCTTGTCACAGAGTCTACAAAAATATTTTTTTTTTCTGGAGGTTGCTTTAAAGTTGAAAAAAAAATGATATTTTGGTTAGCCCTCATGTTATTAATTCTTCTAAATGAAGTATTATCTATCTCTATCTATCTATCTATATATCTCTCACCATAAATCGGTTATAATCACCGTCTGGCATCAAACAAATGGATGTTAATATTGAAAAATGCAAAAATGACTGTCAGGCTTGTAATTCATGCAATATTTATTAAGGAAGTTAATGCACTATTTATAAAACTGGCACTGGCTGTCATTTCCACATATGCTTAAAACGTACACTTATGTAATATTCATTAGATCCGTTGATTTTAACTTGCTGTATGTCAAAGAAACAAAAAAAAATCGAAAGATTAGTCACAACGAATGTTTTGTTAAACAAATTTTTTTAATTTTGCTAGCACATGAAACTGATAACCAGCAAACAAATACTTTGCAATTATAACTATGTTCTACTATATTAGAGAATATGCATAAAACATTTAACAAGCAAATTAAAAACTAATACATGTCATAAGTATTTTATAAGTATACAAGAGATGATTTTTTTCAGAATTCATGATTTAGGATAAAATAAATATTACCTGATATATAAAAAAATAGATACTCTGCTTTTATGAAATTCTGCAGCAGAGTGTTTAATGTTTTTATATGATTTAGTATTTGTTCTGCGTATGATTTAGGTATTGCTATATTATTTTGTTCTGCAGAAAAATCCCATACAAGGCTATTTATGCCAAATAGTATATTTTCATTATATATCACATAAGGTAATGAAAATATAAAATAATCTGTTAATAGTTTCTTTTTAGGCAAATATTTTGCCAAGTTCTCTTCTGACCAAAACTTGCCTTTTGAAGCTGAAGATAACAACTTTTAGTTTAACTCTCAAAGTCCGAGTAGTCAGCATGTTAAAAAAAAAAAAAGTGTCTTTGCAGACAGATCAGTAGAACAATGAATGAGAAAAGACAGATTGTTTTTCCTGGTGCCTTTTTGGTGATCAACCCTTCATTTTGCACTCCCCTGTCTTTCAACTGAGGCATCCAACTGGCTGTTGAGAATGAAATAACTTCTCAAAGCACACCCATCGCTGGCCTCAGGCAGGGAGGATCACTTGACTGGGGATTTATAAAGACAGCACTCCAGATACATCAGGCACCTGTTGCCAGAAGCACCTGAATGTGTGAAGGTGCTTTTAAAAGAGTATGAACTCAATTCATCTTGCAGCTCATCAGAGATCTGCAACTCTACACCAGCAACCTCACCCAAAAAGTGCCCAAGAAGCAACGGAGATGGCCGTTTATTGCGACAATTTCAGCATGTATCACCATCAGAATCTGCACACTTCTCAGAGGGCACCCAATTACGGTATAGGGGATTATACACCATCAACAAACCCCTATTTGTGGCTCGGTGGGCCTGGAGTAAACAGTTCACCAAGTTACCTTCATGGCAACAACTCAGCTTCTTACATGCCGCCATCATATGGATCCCAGAGACAATTCCTGCCAAATTCATCAGGTTTTGGAGGGACGGACCTTGGATGGTTGTCCATAGCCTCCCAGGAAGAACTGCTGAAGCTTGTGAGGCCACCGTATTCCTACTCAGCTCTTATCGCCATGGCCATTCAAAATGCCCCGGAAAAGAAACTCACCCTCAGCCAGATCTACCAGTATGTGGCCGACAACTTTCCCTTCTACAAAAAGAGCAAAGCGGGATGGCAGAATTCCATCCGGCATAACCTGTCCCTTAATGACTGCTTCAAGAAAGTTCCAAGAGATGAGGATGACCCAGGTAATATATATATATTTACTATGTGAATTTTGGAATGTAAAAACTAGTTTTCTGCTCTCAAAACTTTCTGTTTAAATCATTCTGTGTTTCTGCCTTAATTTAAACATTTACTGGTTTTGCTTTACTTACTCTATACTGCAAGAAGTTGCATCTTAAAACAACTCAGATGACAGTTAACTATTTCAGTTCTGAAAAGACAAAATATTAACTTTTGTCTTTTCAGAAACTGTGCAACTGAAAATCAAAATTTCTACCATCTACATATATTTTATTATTTTTATATGTTAAAAACTAAAGTATAAAGTTTGATCCTAACTTGCCTCTGGATCTCTTCTGTAAATAATGAACATGTTTTAGGGTTTTGTTCTTATTTCCCATTTAAGTAATATCAAATAATATGTGTTAATAAAGCCATTAAATCATTGTTATATTTGGAAATTAAGCTATTTTTACAAGATTAATAAGTACTTGTATTTTTTACATTTGGGTCATGTCTATTTGTGAGTACAGATCTGCAGTTATGTATAGGTGCCATTCTACATTAATTTAATACCACAGTGGAATAGTGGCACAAAAGGAACCTGTGCACATGTCATTTTCAGTGCCTCTATAGTATCCAATGTTGATTGCCAAGCCTTTGACAGTGAATGTCAAAGAAGCACTCAATAACAATGCATGATAACCTAAAACTAAGGGGAAAAAAGTTTTATTTTTCCCATTAACTCGAGTTTGCTCGTCTTCAGAAGAAATGTAAAAATTATTTTGTGTAGTAAATCAGCCCCTAAGGTGCCCAAAGACATTAGATGCTCATCTGTGACTTTGGCAGTGCTTTCTGCTTTATGCGGACCTTTGTCAGCAGGATTAGCAATTATTCACACAATTTTTGATAAAAGCCTTTAGTCCCCAACATGGTTACAAAAAATAAAAGTTATAGATTAATGTAGTACATAGAAACCAATTTACATGACGTCTTGTGACTAAGTTCTAATTACTACCTAATGTCTTTCTCTAACCTCAGTAAGTTTGACTGAGATTTATAACTGGACAACATATTGTTGATCATCAAGGCCTACTTTTTTTTACTTGTGTCATTTACATTTCTGTTATTCAATTTTATTCTTTTTTTCCCCAACAGGAAAAGGAAATTATTGGACTCTAGACCCCAACTGCGAGAAGATGTTTGACAATGGAAACTTTCGCAGGAAGAGAAAGCGCAGATCAGAATCCAGCAATGTTGAAGCTGTCACGGGTAAAGGTGAAGAAGGTCACTCTGCTTTAGGGGGGAAAGATGGAGGAAGTTCATCTATGCTGACCCCTTCATCCCCTGAGATGGAATTGACCGCAGATGATAGGAAAAGCACCTCTCCTCCAGCCATCACCTCTACCCCTTGCTTGAATAACTTTTTTAGTAGCATGACCTCCTTGGACTCTACCTCTGTGAACAGACAGATGTCTCTGGGGCTGGTGAATGAACTCTCACAGAGGAACATTACTGGTTTAAGCAGTTTCACCTCAGGCTCTGTGGTGGAGCCATCTGCAGATATACAGGACAGCTTGCACCTCAGCCGAGCCCCCTACTACAACACTTTCGCCAGCTCCACCAATCAGAGTAACCAGTTCAACAGCCATTTCTACAACACCTTCAGTGTCAACAGCCTGATATACACAAGGGAAGGGAGCGAAGTCTAATTTCAAGAAATGTAATGATGCTGGAAACAGTTGTTGGGATATTAAGCCAAGCTATATGCCCACAGGTGCCAAAATGGAGGAGTAATAAAACTTGTGGGTTGGGACCTCTTCAAGAATGTGATTCCAGTATTAATAATTAAGCAAAGTATTAGACTCTGAAACCATTTTGATGGTGGTCCAAGAACAATAGCCCTCTGATAACACTGGAATCCTGAACAATAGCAAAATTTCACTTATTCCAGCACCACTGCCTTAAACTTTATATCAATATGAAATGTGACTGAATTTCTAATAACTCAATCTGCCTTAAGCAAGTAATTGGCGACAAGGGATTTGAAAAAAATAATACCCTCCAATACTGTTCTCTTATCTCTTCAAGTTATAATGTTTTGTTTGTTTTTTAACACACTAGACCTGTTTTAATGCAATGTTGTATTGTTATTTTTAACTGATTTTTTAAATATTGCAAAACAATTAAAATAATGCAAATATTTTGCAATTTTTAAACTAAGCCTCACACAGCCTACTGTTTTGTAAAAACTGTTCTTGTACATATACAATTTACATTGTGTACATTGGAGGAATTGACATTTTTTACTGCTTTTTATTTATGCTGAGTCCTGTTTTTCATGTGTTTTTATATATTACCCAAGCTAACTGAAGTTTTTTTTTTTTTCCTTTTTGCAATAAACCGTATGACAATATTAACTTTTACGTTACTTCTATGCAACTTTTATACAACTTTTATGCAACTTTTATACAACTTTTATGCAACTATTGCTTTCAAAGGCATTATTATTGGTACTGCCTGCTAAAACATGAGGGTATATTAAAAGGGTTCTGATATGTGTTTGCACTATACATGGATAGGCATATGTAAGGCCCTTCACAGTTACAAAAAAACCGACCTTTCATATTATAGTTTAAATTCACAATTCAAAGTTGACTTCCAATTATACTATAACATTTAGCAAAGTTATTTTAAATTTTTACAACCCTATGCATGTGCTAAGATAAAGCAAATATATTCTTAATATTATATATCTTCTATTAGTTCATAAATGTATGCAACATTCTCAAAATATAACATAATTTTTTTTAAAACTACCAATAATTCACCTAAAAATAATGAAAGTATATTGTTGGATTTTTTTTTTTAAATAACAAAGTTGACATGTTGGGTTCTTTCACTTTCAGTTTACTACTTTTGGTGTACTTTTTTCGGTGTACTTGGGATGAGGACAGGTCCTCTATAGCCATAGCACTGGCGGCTGGTGGTAGGGCTTTAAGATGGCCTTGAGCAGTACCTCTACTACTGAGATGTTCGGTGATTACAGAGCAGGTGAAACTGCTAATTCTTGGCAAAACTAAAATAAAAATATTTAAGTAGGCATCACACCAAATTTTAAAATCTGATTTGTTCAGCTTACTCGATCCAGTATCAAAAGAACATCTATAGGTTGGTGCAATTTTGCTCATAGGCCTCCAGAGAAGTGCTACGTGCACACTTTATATATATATATATATAGAAATTATACACACATTTTAAAGAGAGCACATTGTGGGTTGGTGTAAATAGCAAGCAGGGAAGAGGTTGATACAAGAAGCCAATATGTTGCCTGGTTACCTTTACAAGAACTATTGCTGACAATTTCTTTCTGTTGCACCAGAAATGCCAAATTTATGTTTTTTGTTTCACATGTGTTATACTCATCCCTTATTTTGTGTTCTCCTAAATGGTCCTCATCAAGTTTATGACATTGAATGAGGCCCCAAAATGTCTCTATATTCATAATGAACCAAACATTTTTTTTGCACTTTAATACTTCCAAAAAAATTGTGTGGCCCTTTTCTGGAAGATAAAATATTATTCACTTACACAGGTTGATTGGCAGTAATGCTCTCTTCTTTGAAACTAAGTGGGTGCAATTGTGGCCTTTTGTGGATTTAGGTTCACCAGCTCAGACCTCTATGTCATTTGAGTTTGCCTGTTATGCATTGTGTCGCTTAGCTCAGATATTGACATAGTTAAATTTGGGTTTTAATTTTTATATCTGTTTAATTGCTTTTCAGTTAAGGCGTGTCACAATTTTTGTTCTATGCATGTGCATATTTAGTGTATGGCGTGTGGGTTGTATATCGTGTAAGATAACCTTCTTTTGGATTTGGTTGTCCATTGTAGCATATTTTATGATAAAAAAAGTAATTGTTGAATTTGCAGACTGTACTCAGTGTAAAGTAGAGTATTTTACATGAGTATTATAAAATGAGCCTCTTCTACTATCAAGGGATTTTTTGTTTTTGATAAATGGAAAATCGAATCTGTTACCGTGGCCCACATCAACAATTTTTTATCAGTTTAGAAATCTATTTAATAGTAAAGACATTTTACACATACATTAATAAAGAAAACTTGAGTCAAGGGTGGGTAGGATGATACAAGAAACTTTATGTTTTTTAGCAATTGGGTGAAAAACCTCAGCAGAAGACCGTGCAAAATCCACATTCCAAACACCATTTCTCTGCAATGATTGCAAAGGTAGAAAGCTCATTTATAAAAACATGATAGTCAAGGCAAAGTTTATGTTTTAAAAGAATTTTGCTTTATCGAATATTTATAAACCATAACCGTGATACATATTTATATGTTGATTTTCTGTATTTTATACTTCCACTACACTTTCTGTAATTTTGTTTCTTTAGGAAACTTTATCATGTTGATTTATCTGTCCTATACAAATTTGTCGCTAGCCAGGTCAACGTAATCTACACATTATAATTAAATATAATGTACTAAATTAAATACCCATCTACCAATCATTTAGACTGTGCCTAACCCAAAAACAAAATTGTACTATATTGTAGCTTATCAGTTATTAGATGTGGTGACTGCATTTGGTTTTTTTTCCCCCTTTATTTCTACCTGGTAATCCTGCAGATAAAACACTTCCTTTCCCTGGATGGCTATTCTCACTCTTCGATTGAATCTATAGAGGGAGCTATAGTTATCAGCCACCCACACTGGACTTTAAATATGTCCGTCTTCGTTTATCTCCATTATCCAGTTCATTTCACAGGAAATTACAAGAATTTCTTGCAAGTTTAACAGATATTTTCTATACTTGCTGAAAAAGTTATTTTCTACTTTTCTTTGACTTCATTGGCGTATTTGCAATTAACATGTTTGCTAAGTTTAGTAAGTTATGACCATAAAGCATAACTAAGCCCCAAAATAAAACTGTAATTTATTGTAGATTAGCAGTCCTTATATGTGCTGGCTGCATTGGTCTACATCAGTGGTAGCTAAATTTCAGCCCTCCAGCTGTGCAACTACAAATCCTGTCATTCATCTGCCTTTGGAAGCCATGCCTGGGGCTGTCAGAGTCTTGCAATGCCTAATGGGAGTTGTAGTTTCACCACAGCTGTAGGGCTGAAGTTTGGCTATCCTTGGTGCAGACCAATGCAGCCAGCACATCTAAGGACTTCTAAGCTGCAATATATTACAAATTGATTATTTGGTTTAGGTGTGCTTTAAGGTCATAAATTACTAAATGGTCTAACTTAGCAGACATGTTAATTGCAAATACTCCAATGAAGTTAAAAAAAAAGTAAATGTAATTTTTTTTTATTTCACATACAAAATTGGTCTAGTGAACCATCTTGTTATCTATTACTTACATCTGGAAGAGTGTATTCTTCCTCCTCCTGGTCTCCTCTTACTGGGATATTTTAAGGACATGGGGCTCAGACTACTAAACTACAATCATTGTTTTCTGTCACAAAGACCATCGTATGAGTGAAAATAACGATCATCATGAAAATAACACATGCTTTATAGCTTAGTGAATTGAGCCCATGGACTAAGGTCAGGGCCAGATTTCCCACAAGGCCAACCGAGGCCTGGCCTTCGGACAGCAGGGAGTAGAGGGGCAGCAGGGATGTGGAATTCGTGCTTTGGACAAGCAGAGCTAAATGTACAGCGAGGAAGTCGCCACTTGTTTTGGGCAAGTGATCTCGACGATGTCGCCGAGATCACTTGTATGCAGCCTGCATACAGGGGGGCGCATTGAGGAGTCTGGCATTGGGGCAGCAGAGAGAGTAAATCCGGCCCTGACTAAGGTTCTCGGATACTAATTCCTCCCTCTAGTAGAAGTGTTAGTAAGTGACTGGCATCTATATATGAACTATTTCTGACCCCACGGAGAGACTCTGCAGACATTTTTGTATCTATTACCAAAATCACCTTAAAGTATTTGAAAATATTGGATTTTTCTGTCACAGCTTCTGAAACAATAGGACTTTGTGATGACAGAACCTCTGCAGAAAGGAGAATGAGGAAGAGAAAATGGTGTCTGCAAAGCCAGCACTACTCTCTGTGGAATGCAGCTGAACAGCCAACATGTGGCAGCTTTTAGAATTCTCCGGCATGGGAGCCTTTTGACTTACTTTTACTTCTTATATAGAAAAGGCAAAATGTGCAAATAGCATGCACAGTGTATCATCATAAAAAAGTAACAAAAGTAAATCAAGGAAAATAGTTTGCGGAGTTGCATTATAAATGCTTTATTTATTTATTTATTTAGTGTGAAATTGTCCTCTGTCATTTTTTTTTACTATTCCCTTTAAGTCTTCCAGACTTTTTGTTAAGGCACAATTTCATTTTGTGCTGCAAAACTAAAAATTGAATCCCCCAGCAGTTCTGTAAATCAAAGTAGAAGCTTCCCCTGCTATGCTCACCCTTCAGCGTTATCCCCTGCAGATCCACCTGCTCACCTATACGGCCTCACTGCTCTTCTGAGTTGAATTATGCCCAGTGCCATTTTTTTTTTCATTCCTTTATTGACTGAAGACAGTACAAAACAAGTAGGAAACATAAGCATCAACGCTCAAACATCCAAAGCTAATAGTACAATATTAATACAAAGACCTTAGAATGGGAGTGATCACATGACTAATTAACACTTTAAACAATATATACTAGACACAATAATGGCAGAAAC